ACTGTAGACCACTTCCATTTCTACTGATACTGTTAGATCAAGATGTGGTAGCAGCTGTATGCACATTTCTTAGCATCACATTAGCTTAAAAATCCTCCTTTCCCTTAGAGGCAATAGCTTGAAGGCTAAAATAAATGGAAGTAGTTCTATAACACTGCAAAGAAATATTTACTCTGAAATAAGTGTTAAATCAATGCTTTGAAAAAGTTATCCTTGCAAATATTATTTGAGAATCCAAGAATGATCTATGTACTGTTGTTCTGGGGAAAACTTATATAGCTTTGGTGAAACATGTATACTTAAGAGTACATACCTCATGTTTTTGTCAGTATACAGCTTATTTGTAATCATAACCAGGAGATGATGTAGGGTTCTCGGAGATCAGGGGCTTAGCCCTGAGGGTGAAGATGAGAGTTTAGACTTTCTGCTAAATCCTGTTCTAATGTAAAATATGACAGATTACTGGATTAAAGATATTTCTTTTATACTACATGCTATCACACCTAAGAATTCCACCTCCATAACATGGGGAGAAATTAATTTACCTGCAAATCTTTAACTGTGTTTATTCCTCTCTTCATCAACAACAAACTCTGTGTATTTGGGGACGTTTGATCAGAGTTATGAGAAGGAAATCAAATATTTTAGTCATTTGATATGATCCATTCCCCCATTACATGGGAAAAAAATAATCAAATCCTGTGAATTTTAAAATTGTCATTATTTTTTTTATATTATGTTTGAAACATTTATTATTTTATATTTTGAAATCCAAAATAGTTAAAATAAATATGTCTGTTGGTTTGATGATCTTTATGAAATGTATTTTAATTCTCAATTCAAAATGTCTGGAGTAGCATTGCTCCAGACATGTGTTTTAAACTTTTTTTGGAATATTTGTAAATTGTGAGATAAACATTTAGACACAAAATATATTTCATATAGATCATCAATGGGGAAACAGATTATATCAGGTGGCTCAAATATATGAATTCCCTCTCATAACTCTTGCAAATAATGAACAAATGTCACCAAATCCACAGAGTTTGTTGTTGATGAAGAGAGGAATAAACAAAGTTAAAGACTTGCACGTGAATTAATTTAATCCCATGTTATGGAGGAGGAACAGATTATTTCAGGCAGTTGAAATATCCATTCTCTCCTCTCCTCCTTTCATATATTTGGGAAATAAAGAGCAAATGTTTCCAAACTCTCAAAAATTATGTGTGATAGCATGTTGTATACTAGAAATGTCCTTAATCCAGTAATCTGTCATATTTCACATTAGAACGAGATTTAGCAGAAAGTCTACACTCTCATCTTTTCAGGAACTCTTAATATTTGTGTCCTGCTATCAGCAAGTTTTCATCCTATTATATCAGCAATGAAAACTGATAAATACTCACTATGAGTTGGAAAACTGTTTGGTGATTGACTTTTATTTCTGTCAGGCTGAAGGGACTAAGTTGAAAAAAGATTTCTCTTGGCGTTTAAAAAAAAAAAAACACAAGACAGCTTGAAATGACCTCATTTATTTTACAATTTTGTAAACAACAGCTGCTGAATAAACTGGATGTTACAACCTTATAGGGATGGGACGATTTATGAAAACCGTCCAAAACCGTTTGGTTCGACTGTCTTGGTTCGCTGCTCCTTTTTCTCATAAGCGAAGCGTTTACACTCCAGAGCAGAAGGTGGCGGTACTGCGACCAAAGCCAACCACCAGTAGTAAACAAGAAGAAGAAGAAGTAGTGAAGCAGCGTAGCCAGGTGTAGCAGGGAAAAAATCAGCTCTTGTAGAGAATTGTGTCGGAATGGTGAGTGGGAAAGAACAGGAGTTGGAAGACGCGCCAGCAGCACTTTATAGGTCTGCTGTATGGGAACACTTTGCATTTAGAGTGACCTACGATGACGGCGGAAAGAAAGTTGTGGATAAAAGTGCAACAGTGTGCAAGCATTGTGCAACAGTGTGCAAGCATTGCGCAACATGTTTTATTTATGCTAACAGCAACATGACCAACATGTCATGCTAACCCTGAAATCCCACATACTCCGTCAGCAACCCCCGCTGCGCTCCAGACCGGCTGCTCAAAGCAAAGCCTACAGCCCCCACTGTGGCTCCCGTCCGCTCCCCTCTGATTCCCTTGGAGATGGTAGAGAGCATGCGCGAGATGATTAAATTCAAAGCAGCAAAACATACGGAAATGATCCAGGGTTTCCGCGGATCATAAAAAATAATTACAATCCATTATTTTTTGGGGGATTTCTTCATTAATTTCATAAATTTTTATGGGATTTCGGTGTAACAATCAACATATACCGAATCAAACCGAACCGAAAACCGTGACCACGAAACCGTGAATCGAACCGAACCATGGATTTTGTGAATCGTTCCACCCCTAAAACCTTATGATAGGAGCTGTTTTTAGTGAGAAATCGATCAGAAGCGCAGTGAAAATGGTCAGATCGTCCATGCCCGCCTCTCTGGCTTAAATGCGCCCTCCGAGACAGGGGGAACAGAATTTCATACAACACCGGGACAAAGAACGTCTAGAAGTCAGTCAGAAAGCTTCACATCCCAGGTAGTTTAGCAACAGCTAGTGGCGGCAACTTCTTCTTCTGCACGGTAATGCTACAGGTTACTTTCCTTCTCATGCTTCTTCTTCTTCTTTTCTATCATGGCGGATCACAAGCAACTTTAAGGTGCATACCGCCACCTACTGTTCATGAGTGTGTAGCAACATTGTTTTACATCTATTAAATTCTATTTTGTATTTTGAAGATAAATAAATAATGTTTTCCTTAATCTATAAATATCCTTTATATTTCCTTTAATTCCCAATAATCCTTTAAGACTCCATTCTTGGCCTGTCCTTTCAACTACTCTTCTCAATTTCTCCCTTTCAAGTTCATATGTTTTACAGTTCATCAATACTTGTTCTACATTTTCTATTTCCTTATCCTCTAATCCAAACTCTTTAATCAATTTGCTTATAACCCATCCAAATCCATAATTATGTAACTTTGAATATTCCCAACAAGTTTGTAGAATTGTTGAAGTTACATTTTCATCCATACTACTTTTAATTTTCATCCAATATACTAAACCAAATTTCATTCTTCTCATTTCCAGTGGAGTTTCTCCAGTCTCGACTAAAACAGCGTTGATAGTTGTTGTTTTCACTGCTCCTGTACATATACGTAAAGCTCTACTCTGTAATCTATCGTTTGTAATGTTGTTGTAGCTGCTGCTCCATAAATAAAACTGCCATAATTTATTATTGATCTCATGAGAGCCCTATATGTTTAATAATGACTGTCTATCTGCACCCCAGTTATTTCAAGCCACAGCCTTTAGGAGATTTATAACTTTCTTACATTTAGTTTCTAAGTTATCTATATGTATTTTCCATGTATAAGAACTATCTAACCATAGTCCTAGGTATTTAAATTCTGCAACCCTTTCCAACGGCTGTCCATATAATGTTATTGTTCCTATATCAATATTTCTCTTATTTGTGAATACAATGAAACAAGACTTGTTTGCTGATAATTTAAAACCCCATTCATAAGACCATTTTTCTACTTTATTAATTGCTTTCTTAATATTTCCTACTACATGTTTTATATTCTTTCCTCTCATCCATATTGCCCCATTATCTGCATATAATGCAGATTTAATACATTTATCAGTATCTGAAAAGATGTCATTAATCATGATATTAAATAAAATTGGACTTATTACACTACCTTGTGGTATTCCATTTTCCACAATAAATTCTTTTGAATAATCATTCCCAATCTTCACCCTTATTTTTATATCCATCAAAAAATTTGCTACCGTCCTTCGCATGCTGACACCACCTGGTGAAATTCGGTGCTGCACATTTTACTCCGCACAGCTCAGAAGCGAGATCCGTGGCTCTGGGGGAAACATCCGGGGCTGTAGCCCAAGTAGCCACCCCCTAGATCCGCAACTGATCATAACATTAGATCAGGAGTATTGGCTTCCATGATGCAGCCCTGGGCTTCCTGTTCTCAGTCTTGATTCTATAAAAGCAGCTCTCTGACTAAAGATACTTTATACAGATATGCTGAGTGGTTGCATTTTTATTTTTTTTCCCTGCTGCCTCTTCATCATGCCTCTTAGAAGCATTATGGTTTTCATCATCCCATTTTTCATCATAGTTGGGGTACTGAGCCCAGGTGAGTCTGCTGGTAAGTTCCTACCATCAGATTTAAATGTACAATTCAGACTGAAATACAGACCACATGCTTTGTGTGTGACCTTTTGCTCTGTAGGTATTCGCTCCATTTATCACTGCTGTAAAAGATATAATGATTATAGTGGTCCATATCCATCACATACGAGGCTACTTGGAGCAAAGTAAACAGAGAGACTGCATTAAAGCCATCATGTAAGAATCTACTCTATTAACCCTTACACTGTGTGCCTGTATACATTTTCTGGTAAACATAGCTTTAGATTAGATATGACATGACTACCATCAATGAAAATCATGGTTTCATTCTAAAAGGTGGCTAAATAAAATGAAACAAATATATACATGTAGATAAAAGAAATAGTTTTTAAAAATCCTGTTTCCACTTTGTTCCCATTTTGTTTTTCTAAAATGGTTTACTTTTACAAGTTTATTGTTCATAAACTGTTTATAAAATAGTTTTTGTTAACTCAATGGATTACACGTGCAGGATAAATCAGCAGTGTCTCATGTTTGTCTTAAAATGTGTCTATCATAGTTTCTACACCACCAGTTACCATGAAGTCTGTGCAAATCCAGAGGATGAGTGGGTGAAGGACACTCTTGAAAGGCTGGGGTAAAATAATTATTTTTTGTTTGTAGCATCTTGTATCAGTTTAGCTGCAGAGTACCTAATGCCCCTGCATAATTGGTTTAATCATAGGAAAAATGTTGCATATATAAATGATAAATTATTATTTTTGTTTTGTTTTTTGTATTTCTTTTTAACTCAAAACAGAAAGCCGGATCATGTTGAATACTTATCGCCCAAAACCGAATATCGGTATGTATATACATTTTACATTTGGTCCAAATTTGGCACACACTGCAAAAACGATCTAGAAATGAGCAAAAATTTCTTAAATGAAGCGTATTTAGCATTAATTTGAGTAGGTAAATAAAGTGATCTGCCAAATGGAATGAGTATTTTTACTTTTAAAATAAGATAAGTAGCCTACTCGAGTTGAGGGGGGTTGGCATCACCGCAGTGATATTGGATATCAAAGCTCCATGGAGTCAGGGGATCTAGCGAACGGTTGATCCGACTGAGGCTCTCCGATGTCGGCCAGCGTCTCTCAGCTGCTCCCTTCTCCCACACACAGTGGTGCAGTTAGGGACGTTAACAAATCTTTGAACCAAGCACTCTTGTGAAACAAAAATCACTAAATTTCTCATCTTATGACCAGCTAAGATGAGGAAGTTATTGATTTTTTTTTTTTTTGTCAATAGATAACATATGTAAGGCACCCTTGCTTTTCTGCAATTTTAAGCTATTTTAAATTTTACAGATATTTTTAAAGACAAAAATTAGGACTTTTATTCAATAGGTTCCAGGTCATGTGACCTACTGACTCCAAATCTATGTCAAACTACTTTATCCAGATGGGGCACACTCTTTTGTTACATTTCAAGCCTTTGTTCTTTTTTTAAAGATTTATTATAAAAATAATGATATATTTTTTGGAAATGATAGCTTCCAGGTCATTTATTTTTGTAATAAAATTTTTTTTAAAATATACAAAGGCTTAAAATGGAATAAAAATAAGTGTGCCCCATCAGGCTAATGTAGGAAAACAATTTGACATAGATTTGGAGTCAGTGGGTCACTGCTATTGAAGAAATATCACATTTCTTTTACAATAAAAAATCTTTAAGTACCTAGTTACCACTCAAAGCTGTGCATCCTGTGAAAAAGGTTGTTCCGCAGGTTCCAGGTTCTAAGTTTAACAAATAAAGTGTCAGAAATGATCTAGAATGGTGGTACTGTAATAGCAAAATAGGGAATTAGCATGCACGAATTTATTTATTGCACACTGACTGAAACACATTGACTGAAACGTGTCTCCATACAAGTAAAATCCTATTTATCTCTCCACCAAAACTATAAATTTTAAGGCATCCATGTATAAGAAATATGAAAACATTAAGAATATGTTTAAAATGTCCCTTTACCTTCATATTTCAATCCATTTTCTCATCAATGAGCGTGAGGTAATTCTGGGCACAACAGATAAAACCTGGAGGAGAGAATCGAAGCAGGGGTGGATTTAGGAAATTTGGGGCCCTAGACAAAAGACAGGCATGGGGCCCTCTGAATTGAGAAGACAACTCATAATAAAGACCCATTATAGAGATACAGAAATTTTAATACAATAGACAAACATTATGACCACCCTTAATGATGTTTTATGACCACCCTTAATGATGATTTATATTTTTATATTATGTCTATGGAAACATAAAACATAAAAGTTCAAGATATCTTTAATCACATTTTAGAGAGTCAAAATGCGTTTTGAGATTTCTCAAATGTGATCTGATTTATCATTCAAAGTTTCACACACCCAGAATTATAATCAAGATATTTCAGTTACATATTTACACATATTTACATATTTTCATAGTTACACACTGCTTATGGCTAGAGATCTAAAATTTCACACAGTTGTTCTCCACAAGATGAAGAATAAGTGTAGTAAAGGTTAACTATAAATTATAGTTTATTATAAAGATATAACATAGCAAAAATACTCTTTTTTTTATTCCAATTTTTGGAAATGTTTGAAGTCACACAGCTCTGGTTTTGTAAAATCTACAGAGTCTGTGCACATATTTACACAGACTAGAAGGTCTTACCTTTCAAATGAGATATCACAATAAATCACATGTGGGATTTAGAATATTAATTTACTGGACAATGGCACTTTTGGTATGCAACACATTTGAGTACAAGCTATAAAAGTGTGGGTGTTAAGGGCTTAAAAGGCTGAGGTAGAAGAATTCTCTTGTTTCTAGCATCTTATATCAGTTTAGCTCCAGAGTACCTAAATGCATTGCATAAAAGATTAATCTTAGGAAAAACTTTTGTTAAATATTAATTTTGTTTTTTCTTTTTAAGACCAAGTCAAGTCTCAAGTCTTGGGAGCTCAAGTCCAGGTAAAGTCTCAAGTCTTGGGAGCTCAAGTCCAAGTAAAGTCCCAAGTCTTGGGAGCTCAAGACCAAGTGAAGCCCCAAGTCTTGGGAGCTCAAGTCCAAGTGAAGTCCCAAGTCTTAAGCGCTCAAGTCCAAGTAAAGTCCCAAGTCTTGGGAGCTCAAATCCAAGTCAAGTCCCAAGTCTTAAGAGCTCAAATCCAAGTAAAGTCTCAATTCTTAAGAGCTCAAATCAATATCAAGAATCAATTCTTGACTATGCCTGTGACAATGCTTAAATAATGGCCCAATAAGTTCTAATTACATTTTTAATTAAAATAAGTGCAATAATTTGTGAAGGCATGCTTGCTTTGTGGTTTCATCTCAGTCACTGAAATATTTACCTTGTCCAAGATTTTATCCGGGACACTTTTTCTGCAGCGCGCTCACTTAGATGTTTGGTTACTGTGCTGCGACTTGGCAGGCAGTATCTTTCACCTACCACTGACAGAATGTTTTTAAAGCTGGGCTTATCGATCGTACTTGGATGTTGCATGAAACAATAAAGTCCTGTATTACTGCTTCACTAATAGCCTTTAGTCTGGGATGTCCCTGGGTGTACATTTGCACTCCTTTAGTCAGAAAGGACTCTATACTGCTCTGTCCCTCTCCACTTGGTTGTTTTATTTTTCTTTATTAAACTGAGAAAACATGTAGATGAAGAATGATGTTTATATAGATTAGTACTTAGCCTTCTCCTATATAATTTTATCAAATTTTTTAAACTGCATTTCAAGGCTTCCTTTTCTTCTCTGATGAAAGTTGGTGGTGACACTGGGGTGGCGGCTGATGGACCTACAGTTACTCAACCCGAGCCCTTTCAAAAGGGTTTGTATTTGAAAAAAATGAGCTCAAGCACATATTTATGGAATGCTTTTCTATTAATATAAGAGTGCAACAATACGGTTATAAATAGTTAGAAGATGACCTTTAGTGCATTTTTAAAAATGGCTCAAAAACATTCATAAAATCATGAAAAACAGCCAATATCTGACTTCAGCAGCAGTACATTTATGCATCCCTAGTATATACACAATTTCAATTTCATCCATTCATCCAGGAAAATTTCTATGTATGTATGTATGGACGGATGGATGGATTCCCTTTCAGTGACATAAGTGATTATCAAGATTACAAGCAGCAAAATCAAATTCAGAAATTTGTCCAACATGTTTACAGCCAAAATCTATGTATGTATTGAATGTTTTATTTTAAAAATAAATTATACACTAATATTTACTCTATTATTTGTGCTTTAATTCTTGTAGGTTTCTTATATTTAAATTAGAAGTCTGTGTCCTGCGAGTCTGGCTGTCTCTGTGCTGGCTGACACAGCTATATCTGAGTCTTGCTGAATTACAAAAGGCAAAATATATATGTCGAATCTAATTATATCATAGCATATTTTTGTTGTAGTAAACTTTCTGGTGAACTTACAGATATATTGTATTGCATGTTGCCTATCTCAGTAAATCTGTTTTACCTTTAATTCTGAAGCTCTCCCTATTTGTGACTATATTCCCTGCTTAAATACAGATTAAATACAGATTTATGAGCCCTTTTTTTTGGGGTGTGGGGTGGGGGGAATGAAGTGTCGACTGCTGGCCCGCTGACTGGACCGGACATCGGCAGAGAGCCATGAGCCACTCGTCCTCAGCCGGAGGAGGAGGGCTGAGGGCCGGTAAGGCAGGCGGGGGTAATGACGAGGCCGAAGGTGTCCAGGCTACCATCACTGGGTCGGGTTTGGTGGCTTCACCCCCCCGCTGGCTTGGTTCTTTGCCCGGTGTGTTTCGACTACATGCTGGACTGTTCCGGACAATTTTGAAACTCCCCCCGGACATTTTTTTTTTAGGTATGAAAAGTAGGACATGTCCTGGAAAAAGAGGACGTCTCGTCACCCTAACATATGAACAATTTTGATGTTTCAGTGAGTGAGTCTTTGTTGCTATGATGCATCTTTGTGTTAAGATTTAGACTGAGGACCCAGATACAACAAGAACACAACAGGAAATAACTTTAAAAGATTTATTAAGGAAATACTGCAGATTATTCAGGATCAGGGGAGCCTATGGAGGGAAGAGAACAGGTTAGTGGCATATCCAACAAGGGCTAGGCAGGTTGAAAAAATCAGGAGGCAGAAACAGGAAATCTCCTCATTGTGGTTACCTCCTAGAGCCAGGCCAACCTTCTCTGTCATCTGATGCGACTGATTGAGGTGGTGCCCATCCAGGGTCAAAATGTTCTGGGATGCAGGGGTTGGAAAGAGTCTGATGTTATGTCTTTTGGCAAAAGACTCATCCATAAACTCTGATGTGTTTGACTCAGTAGAAACTCCTCTCCCTCTACTGAGCTTGATCTTTTAACAGGCACCCAATGGCTCTGTGGCCCCTTCCTCCACAGCAGAAACATAGATTCTGCTGCTTTCTATGAATGCGTTCTTCTGAAGAATATCCTGAGTCTACCCAACTGCATGGGTTCGGGTTCACTGGTAGGAGGAGATGAAACAGCTGTAAACTGGGTGTCTGCTTTAGCTTGTGTGGTAAAAACAGCTTGCCTCCCCTTATAGCTTCTCTCTCTCCTTTCCGAAAGCCACAAGTCGATACGAGCAGCCAAATCCTCTATCTCTTTCAAAGAACTTGGGAAATCACAAGTAGCTAGCTCATCCTTAATGTCCTCATTTAAACCTTGCAAAAATACACCCATAAGTTCTTCATTGTTCCAGGAACTATCAGCTGCCAGAAGATGAAAATCAATGATGTATGCTGTGACTGACCTGCACCCCTGTTTAAGTGAGAGTAACCCTCTGGCCGCTTCTCTGGCTGGCAGAACGGGATCAAATACTCTGATGAGTTCCTTGGCAAAAACAGAATAGGAAAATGTACAAGGAGACTTATTCTGCCACTCTGCTGTTCCCCACTGCTTGGCTTTACCTGAGAGGAGAGAAATAACATAAGCCACCTTAGACCGATCTGTGGGAAATGATGAGGGTTGCAGTTCAAAGTGAATTTCACATTGAGTGAGAAAAGCTCTGCACTGATCAGCATCACCCTTGAAAACCTCTGGAGGACACAGATTTGGCTCTCTTGTGGTAGCTACTGGAACCGGAGGAGGACCAAAAGGCTGTGGAGAAGCCTGGGTATGACTGGGACCAGACAAATTGAGCAACATGGAAATTATTTCAGTCATACCTGCATCAAGCCGAGCGATAGGTTATCCACACTGGCTCGCCACTGTTGTGCTGGTGTTGGGTCCATTGTTGGTCAGATTGCCCTGTTAGGATTCAGACTGAGGACCCAGATACAACCAGAACACAACAGGAAATGCCTTTAAAAGATTTATTGAAGAAATACTGCAGGTTATTTAGGATCAGGGGAGCCAGAGCCTCTGGAGGGGAGAGAACAGGTTAGTGGCTGAGATTGATGATTAAAAGTTCAGACTGCTAAGCCACTAACCTTCCTTAATATCCAGGCAGGGTGTCTTGGTTCTAAAAAACTTAAGCTCCTTGAAAGTTAATTCTCACTAAGGCTTGGCAGACAATCTTGGTGAAAGGAGGTCCAGGGTCAGAGCCAGGTGATCAGATTTTCAGAGAATCCAAAACAGAATCCAGGGACAAAGTCAGGGCACAGAAACAGGTCAGGGATCCAGGCAGCACAAAAAACAGATCCAACAAGGGCTAGACAGGCTCAAAAAATCAGGAGGCAAAAACAGGTCAGGATCAGGTAGACAGACAGAAAAATGCTGGATGCTTACTAACCTAGGCTTTCAGGCAATCTGGCACTGTCAACTAGTCAAAGGCAAACAGGTGAAATGAATCAGTGGCAATTAGGCTGAGCAGTAGCAGCACAGGAGGGCCAAATGCACAGAGCAGAAGGGGGAGGGGAATGAAAACAAATACTAGTTGACAGACCAGAAACATAACACTTTGCTCAGCAGCTACGCTCATTGTAAACAAACCAATCAGCGCACAGCTCATCTAAATATTCATTAGCATAAAAGGAAAAAACCTGTCGTTTCATTCAAGGGCTTTTAACCAGGCTTGCATTAGGGTGCGTAGAACAGCAGTTTTATATCAATATATTATAAGATTATGTTTGGAAGAAAGTCAGGCATGTTGCTCTGCTGGATCCACAATAAGCTATGTGGCCACATTTTGCACAACTAATTCAAATAACTATGATCTGTTTTATGAAGACTGTTTTCAAATCTCTTAAAGTAAAGTGTATACAAATAATTTTGTTAATCAGATCTGAACATAGTTGTGATAGTGATAGTCTTGGCTGCTGCAGCTCCCCTTAGATATCCAAACACATTTCTTGGTTTAAGAGAGAAAGTGGCACATGGTGCCCTGAAACTCTTCTCATCCATCCATCCATCCATCCATCCATCCATCCATCCATCCATCCATCCATCCATCCATCATCCATCCATCCATCCATCCCAATTAGAATCGCGAGGGGTGCTGGTGCCTATCTCCAGCTGTCTACAGGCGAGAGGCAGGGTACACCCTGGACAGGTCACCGGTCCATCGCAGGGCAACAAAGAGACAAACAGGACGTACAACCGTTCATGCACACACTCACACCTAAGGAGAATCTAGAGAAGCCAATTAACCTACCAATCATGTTTTTGGACTGTGGGAGGAAGCTGGAGTACCCGGAGAGAACCCACGAATGATCAGGGAGAACATGGAAACTCCATGCAGAAAGACCACGGGCCTGGAATCAAACCCAGGATCTTCTTGATGCAAGGCAGCAGTGCTACTACTGCGCAGCCAAATAAATAATAAATTCTATAATATTTGGAGCAAAGCTGTATCTCTACTGTAGCACCAATATTTGCAATTCAATTCAACTCAATCCAATCCGTAAACTATGTTATTTATCCCAAACAGAAATTAAATGCTTTATACACAATCAATGATAAGTAAAAAATCTTTTTGATCAGGACCTGTCATTTAAATCCCATGTCTTTTAGTTATCACGCTCCTCTCCTGTGGAACCAACTACCAGTTTTAGTGAGTGAGGCAGACACCCTGTCTACTTTAAAGGGTAGGCTTAAAACTTTCCTTTTTGATAAAGCTTATAGTTAGAGTGGCTCAGGTTATCCTGAGCTATCTCTATACTTATGCTGCTATAGGCTTAGACTTCTGACATAGGGACCCCTATTTTATCATTCTGCTTCATTCGATCTCTATTCTCCCACTCTGCAGAATCTGTTAGTTCAGTCTCCAACGTTATGCTCTCTCTACTTTTTCTCATAGTAGCCTTGCCTCGTCTGTTTCTGTTTGGCTGTGACACCATACTGGAGAGAAATATCAGCTATGCTGCTGCCATCTGTTTCTCAGACTGTGACTGGCTGGATGTGCTCTTTTCGTCCTCTGACATTGTAGTTGGCTCAGAGCTCGTCTGCCTGACTGTGTCTTACTAGCCGGGGCCGCCTTTTACAGTTGCTGTTTGTATCTCTGAACCAAAGTTCGGGCAGATGGCCACTCACACTGAGCCTGGTTCTGCTGGAGGTTTCTTCGTGTTAAAAGGGAGTTTTTTCCACTCCACTGTCGCTACAAGCATGCTTAGTGTGACGGATTGCATTCGAGGTAATGAGTCAATGCAATCAACTGCTTTTCCTTAGATAGAAAACTTTGATGTATGATCTAGTTGAACTGTAAAGTGTCTTGAGATGACGGGTTGTGAATTGATGCTATATAAATAAACTGAATTGATTGGGGTAAAAATAACTATGGGTAAAAAAAAAAGAATTTTAGACACTTAAGGTTATGAATTGCAAAGTAAAAGGCCATATTAAAAACGAAAAACTAAACATGTTAGAATTAGCCTTGAAGTATAAAAAAAACTCTCCAGATAAAAAAGTAAGCTGTAGAAAGACGTGCTTATATAATGATGTAGCCGTATACACTGACTTAGTAATATTTATTAAAAAATATTCAGTAATAATTTTTTAGATTAAAACTGTACTGATGAGCTGTTGTCATGATCCTGGCACTGATGACTGGATTATTGATTCATTTCTCCCATGTGTCTAGCTCCACCCAGTTTTCATTTTCACTCATGTGAACCACCTGTTCCAGTTGCTTTTTAAGCTGCTTGTTTCCAGCCATCAGTATCGGATTGATCGAGCCGTGTGTAAGACTTGTCTAGTGTACCAAATGTATTTCTTATTACCTGATCCTGACCAGTTTCTAACCCCTGGACTTCAGAGTTTTGCTTGCCCCTGTTCTGATCTGTTTTTCCTGACCTGTCTTTGGACTGCTATTTGGAGTCTGCCTCTTAACACCTTGGATCTGTTTCCTGACCGTTGCTTGGCTTTCCCTTTTGCACCTCTTTGGTTCTCTGATGTTCTGGCCTGGGTATCTGCTCCTGCATCAACACCTACTCTGGATTTTCCCTCTGGTTACTTCTGCTCTTCCTTGTCTGCTGGCTTCTGCTCGTCAGTTTGCTCTGCTTGACTCCTGGACCTCTCTCAGCTATGCGGCAGGAGCCACATGCAGAGGAGAAATCCTATGGCTTGATTCCACTCCTTCCTCTGGGCTGGGACTGAATTTAAAAACCAGAGATTCCAGTCATCCGATCCCAGCTGACGAGCTGCAGATTACAGAGCAATTAATAAAATGTTTTGTTTGAAATAATTTCTGTTCTGAATTCTGGGTCTGACTTTCTGCGCCCTGACAGTTTATTTTAATTCTCTTTAAGGCGTTTCAAGTACTGAATAAGTATTTAAAAAACTGGGGAAAAAATGCTTGTTTCTTAAAATATTTAGATTTGCGATAGGGTTAAAAATATTACTTATGACATCTGTACTTTTTAAAATAAGCTTTATATAAGATAATCTAAAACATGGAACCTATATTTGACATTTCGTTCTCAAGCAAAAAGTAACTTAATATTCAATTGAAACCCAACAGCTAAAAATTATTTCTACAATGCTTTCTTATATCTTACACTGATACATTCATCAGTGTAAAAAGTACATACCGGTAGATTCTCTTTTTGTTAAATCATCACTGCTTGTTTGGCCTATGCCAATACTGCCCACAAATAGGGAAACAAACCACAAAGTTTTGGAATTTGCCATCTAAAACCTGAGTTTGAGCAAAATTACCCCCTTAAGAGTCAACAATTTAGAACCACACTTAAGCTGTTAAGAAAATGTATTACCTGTAGAAGACAGGACTTTTATTTGTGCTCTTAATCACTTTGTGTCCTTATCTCAAGCAAAATTACGTTTAAGGTAAAATATATATATATATATATATATATATATATCACCTTCATTAGTGCTTTTGTCATATATAGAAATTAAATCTGATCACAAAGTTGTGGCATTACCTAAAACAGCCTGTTGATGCTCACAAACCCTCCAGAGAATGAATTAAAACAACTTTAAAGCAGAGAGTGCTAAAACCCCTTCAGAGTGATGTAAAGGGTCCACCATTATACATTTTTAATGGGACTCGTTAGGTTTAGGTGGCAAGGACTGTTTCACACAACCTGGGGTTAGATTTAGGTTTTCTTTAGATCAAATAAAGCTTTTTAATTCTGACATTGAAGCTTGTTTGACAACTTAGAAGAGCAAGAAATCCAGAGGTGAGAAAACTACTTTTACACGGTACTGTTCTGATTGGTTTGTAAAAGATTATAATAAAGATGTTAAATAAGGTGACAACAGATGAATGTGGGAGGAACAGATAGGTGAAAAGAGAGGAACACAGAGCTTTAGTTGAGGAATCCAGCAAGAAAATGACTACTAATGTAAAATAGAAGATAAGACAGAAGCACACAGAGACAGTGGAAGACAGACTATCATTAAGTTAATTGAACACAAATAATTATAAATGTTAAAAACAGAAATATATAAGAAGCAGAACCTAAAAGGAAGAAAATATTATGATAGGAGCTTTAGAAAATGATACAACACAGTTGAAGTCCAAACCTGAAACACAAAGATCATGAAAACTGTTGTCATAGGAGAACAGGATGTGCTATATCTTAAAGCTGCTCTCTAGTTTGCACCGATGGTGAACGATAAGAGAAGGGGGCTTTTTGATGCAACATAACATGTCTGCTCATTTCGTAATGTTGAGATCATAAGATACTGTAGACCACTTCCATTTCTACTGATACTGTTAGATGGAGATGTGGTAAGGGCTGTATGCAAATTTCTTAGAATCGCATTAGGTTAAAAAGCCCCTCTTCCCTTAGAGGGTATAGCTTGAAGGTGTCACAGTGGGGGTGGTTTGAAAGGACCCAAATGCAGACACAAAACCTTAAGGTTGTTACCTGAAGGTTTAATGAACCAAAAGTTCAACAAAAGCAAAAATCCAAAAGAATAAATCCACAAAAATCCAAAAATGCTGAAAACCAGGAATACTCACAACAAGAAGGGGACAAGGTAATGACAACAAACCAGCAAAGAGTGACTGAACAGGAGGAGAATTAATGGGAGAGAGAAACAAAGACCAGGCTGATTAGCAGACTGGGAGCAGGTGTGAACAGAGGCAAGAAGGGAGCTATGGAAAAGGAGACTGACACAAGAGGACAAACAAGAGATATCTGAGAACTAAAATACAATAACAAATAACTAGACCACAAAAATGAAAAATAAAACCAATGAAACTCAGAGATAAAACTTAAACAAAACCAAAACCATAATATGATTTCCAAATGAATGGAAGTAGTTCTATAATCCAGCAATGAAACATTCAGTCTGAAATAACTAAAAGTGTTAAATCAACGCTTTGAAAAAGTTATTCTTACAAATATTATTTGGGAATTGAAGAATAATCTATGTACTGTTGTCATAGGGAAAACTTATATAGCTTTGGTGAAACACATATATTTGAGTACATACAGTACCTTATGTTTTGCATTATACAGCTTGTTTGTAATCATGACATGAGATCAGGAGTATCGGCTTCCATGATGCAGCCCTGGGTTTCCTGTCCTCATTCTTGGTCCTATAAAAGCAGCTCTCTGACTAAAGATACTGTATACAGATATACTGAGTTGTTGTGTTTTTATTCAGTTCTTTGCTGCCTCTTCATCATGACTCTTAGAAGCATCATGGTTTTCATCATCCCATTTTTCATCATAGTTGGGGTACTGAGCCCAGCTGACTCTGCTGGTAAGTTTATACCATCAGATTTAACTGTACAATTCAGACTGAAATACAGACCACATGCTTTGTGTGTGACCTTTTGCTCTGTAGGTATTCGCTTCAGTAAACACTGCTGTACAAGTTATAGTAATAAAGTGGTCCATTTCCATCACATTCGAGGCTACAGGATGCAAAGTAATCTGGAAAACTGCCACATCAATGCCATCATGTAAGAGTCTACTCCATTAACCGTTACACTGTGTGCCTGTATTCATTCTCTGATAAATATAGCTTTAGATTAGGTGTGACATGACTATAATCAATGAAAATCATGGTTTAATTCTAAAAAGTGGTTAAATAAAAAATGTAATAAATAGATAGATAAACAAATAGTTTTAGGAAATTCTGCTTCCAGTCTGTTACCCTAAAGTCCTTTGTTTATTAGTTACTGTCACTAATTTATTGTTCATAACTTTGTTTATAAAAGTTTTTGTTAACTCAATGGATTACGCATGTATAATAAAGTCAACAGTATCTCATGTTAAAATGTGTCTATCATAGTTTCTACACCACCAGTAACCATGAAATCTGTTCAAATCCAAAGGATGAGTGGGTGAAGGAAACTCTTAAAAGACTGAGGTGAAATAATTATTTTTTGTTTGTAGCATCTTATATGAGTTTAGCTCCAGAGTACCTAAATGCTCATGAATAATTGGTTTAATTTATGGAAAAATGTTGCATATATAAATGCTAAATATTTTTTTTTGTTTGTTTTGTTTTTTGTTTTTCTTTTTTCCTCAAAACAGAAAGCCATTGGAAAAGCAGGTAAAAAACTGAGAAAACCTGAAAACTTTCCCATGCATGGAGGAAGAGGATCTTTTAAAATGACAAATAAAAAGAAAAAAGAAAGTTTTTTATAAAGTAAAAATTGGCAGCAATGGAATTAAGATATTTTGATCTTCTGCAATCAAATCTTTGAGAATAATCTCTCATTTAAAGGCATTAGTGAAATTTTGTTATGATGAACTAAAACATCAAAAATAATTATTTTAGCTACTCATTTCACCCAGTGAAATGAGTTGTAAAAATAATTAAACACAGACCAATGGTTAAACTCACTGACAACTTTTCATTATTATCTATTTCTGTTCGAGACTAAGAAAATATGTTTAAAAAATAAATAAGAGTTGATTATAAAAAAAAACATGTTGGTCTTCTAAAAACCCTGTTAAAAATGTTTGACAATAAGGTTATTATGGCAAAAGATTATTTTCAAAGTGTATTGTTCATTCTGAGGATGAGCCTCATCCTAACTGTTTTATTTTACTTTATTAAATATGGCTGTACTTGCTTTGTACTTCTATAAGCTTTGTTATGTTGACCTATACCTTGGGACATATTACTTCATGCATGTCTTAAACATTTTTCTTTATGTTAATTTTAATGCTTGCAATAAATCATTGATTAACTTTCTAAATATATGAATCATATATCAAGCACATAAAATATGTTTTTAAGGGGTTTGATGCTGTTGTTTTGTTTCATTCCCCATAGTATCAAACTGTGGCAATTTACTTTGGTAAGTTTTACTGATTCATGTGATTTTGTACTACTCATTAAGTCTTTCCGAATCATATAAACTTAATAAATTGACTGCTCAAACAGTGTTACGTTTATCATTTCCCTCTCTAAAATACACTGCTCAAAAAAATTAATGGAACACTTTGAAAACACATCAGTTCTCAATGGGGAAAAAAACTCATGCTGTTTATTTATTCTAATATGGACTGGGTGATGTGTTAGGAACAAAAGGAGGCCACACCATTCTGCAATTTCATTGCAGCAACTCAAAATGGTATTCAGTCATTTGTATGGCCCCCACATGCGTGTATGCATGCCTGACAATGTCGGGGTATACTCCTAATGAGACGACAGAGGGCATCCTGGGGTATCTCCTCCCAGATCTGGACCAGGGCATCACTGAGCTCCTGGACAGTCTAAGGTGCAACCTGGCGGCGTCGGATGAATCGAAACATCATGTCCCAGAGGCGTTCTATTGGATTTAGGTCAGGCGAGCGTGGGGGCTAATAAATGGTATCAATTCCTTCATCCTCCAGGAACTGCCTGCATACTCTCTCCATATGAGGCCGGGCATTGTCTTACACCAGGAGGAACCCAGGACCCACTGCACCAGCATAGGGTCTGACAATGGGTGCAAGGATTTCATCCCCATATCTAATGGCAGTCAGGGTGTAGTTGTCTAACCTGTAAAGGTCTGTGCGTCCTTCCATGTATAGGCCTCCCCAGACCATCACTGACCCACCAACAAACCGGTCATGCTGAACTCCACGGCTTCTCCAGATCCTTTCACGTCTGTCACATGTGCTCAGGGTGAACCTGCTCTCATCTGTGAAAAGCACAGGGCGCCAGTCGCAGACTTGCTAATTCCGGTGTTCTGTGGCAAATGCCAATCGAGCTCCACAGTGCCGGGCAGTGAGCACAGGGCCCACTTGAGGACGTCGTGCCACCCTCGTGAAGTCTGTTTCTGGTTGTTTGGTCAGAGACATTCAAACCAGTGGCCTGCTGGAGGTCATTTTGTAGGGCTCTGGCAGTGCTCCTCCTGCTCCTCCTTGCACAAAGGAGCAGATACCGGTTAAAAACCATACCATAATGATAAATTATCAACAGTTTAGTTTGTGCCTTCAAATCGTTGCCCATAGGACAACGTTACTTGGATATAATCTAACCAAATATCTTCAGAACAGCTCCAAATGACACAAAACTCATATGGGTGAGTAGAACATGATGTAATAATGTAAAGTCAAGGGCCCAATGAAAAAAAAAAAGGCATTTCCCCTTAATAAGTGAATGGATTGATGTCTAACCGAAACTTCAGTGATAACATCAGATTAATCTTAGATTTCCTTGACTGCTCAGATCTTGTGGAGAGCCTGCAGTTTTTGTATTTCTTTATTTCTTCAAAGCTTTTGACATGTTAGAACACAAAATGCAACAACAAACATATACGTAAACCTTTCTACAAAAAGAGCAGGATAAATCTACCAGGAAAAGTCTTTTGGGATAACATCTTTATGGACTCTGACTGGAAGAAGGCCTGGTTATCAGCCTATAAGTTCTGTATCTCCAATAAGATAAAGGAGGTTCACATCAAAATTCTACACACTATATATCCTACAAATTCCTAAAACCAATCCTACCAATTGTTTCTAAATTCTCAGATATTGAAGATTAATATTTAACGTGTAAACTCAAAGCATACATTGTAATTGACAGTAAGAGTGTAATACACACATATATATATATATATATATATATATATATATATATATATATATATATATATATATATATATATATATATATATATATATATATATATATATATATATATATATAGAATGAAAAAAATCTGGGGGAAAAAATCAGGTAAAGATTAACTTAATCATCTTGTTTTGGCATTAATACTTAAAACAAGTAATCTTACAAATGTCAAATATTTTAGTCAATCTCACTGACTTTTTTCAGTTAAGAAAACTGTGGTATTCATGAAAAGAGGTTGATCTGAAAATCTGGAGTTCAAGTAACACAACATAGAAATAATACCTTTATAAAGTAAGACTTTAAGATTTTAAAATGTATCATCAGTTTACTTTACCCTGGTGGAAGACAAAGGTAATCATTAATTAGGTTCTTCTTTCTTCAGATCATCCAGAAGGCTTTTTACATTTTTCTTTTCCTTTGCATTCAGCTTCTCCTGCTAAAGATTGCTTTCTAAACTCAGACATAGTTCTTAGTTTTACCTTTCTATGTCTTTATGTTATTATTTCCTTCCTGTGTTATTACTTAGTTATTTTTTATTAAATTTTACTGTATTAGACATAATACAATTCATGGACTTAGTGTTTTGTCTTCATTGTCTATATTCATAAGAATGTTATTTCAATCGCCCTACTAAGTTTATAGATATAAACAGTTGTGTGTTTTTATACTTTATATGAGCCACAATATAAATTAAGTAGCTACATACAAAGCAACTCTAAATTCCTAAAAAAACAAAAAAAACAAAGTAAACTAATGTAAATATGATTTTTAATATTTTAATGGCATGACGGTCTGGGTTACCTTTAAAAACTTTTTTGCTAACACTTCTCCTGAAGGTGTCTGTAAACTTCTCGGTGACGTGTTCTGACCTCTGAGATTCTTTAGGTGCATGACAGGACTGTGAAGAAGGCAGTTTCCCTGACTGACAAGGTGACACAGTAAAGCTGTGCTATTGTTCCTTCATCTGTAGCCACTAGATGGCAGACTAATAAAAAAAAAAAAAAATTAAAAAAAAAAGCAAAAAACCCCAAACACTTTCAATCCATCCTGTATTCCATTGTTACACTTTTGAACTTAAGAAGTACTCCTTGGTCTAATTTTATTGCCAGTGAAGATATTTAAACAACAAACGTATTTCTTTAAAAAAAAAAAAAAAAACATTGCCCAACACAAGAAGAGTGACAATGTGATTAACAAATAAAACAATACAGAAAAATATCTTAAGAATTTTAATTTAGTTTATCAAACAGAGGCAACATGACAACCATGCCTTACATTACAATATCTTGAATCACAACATGGTGCTTTGACTAGAGAGAGATAGCATAAAGAAATACACACATTTCAAATGTCTACCAAGTAAGGGCTAAAAGGTTTATGGTGGTAATGTGGCTAAAGGTTGTCATAAAAAAGTGTTAAAATAAGTTTGTTTTTTTGTTGATTAACCTGTGATAGGGGCCCCTTATCTAGAAACTAAACAGTGAGTATAATATACCTTTCAACATATACAGTTTTCTATACCAGTTCATGTGGAGGTTAATCTTTTAACCAAATATTCCTTGTAGCAGGTTCTTGTTATAAACTAAGGCCTCTATTTCAGTTTATCTCTTGTCTATCTCTAGACATCTGGTATGCATGTATACGTACGGATGCAGATGAAATGTAAGGGTTATTATAGAGACTTTGTGACCCTTTTCTAAGATTAAACAAAAATATGTTCTTACTTTATCCCATACGGTGTTCTTTACTGTGCTCGACAACAAGATAGTGTGAGTTCTCTACCAGTCTTGTTTGTCACTATTTGAGTTGCTTTAAATTCCTGGTTTAATGTTCTGACTGATAAAATAGGCACGCTTTGATAAGTATCTATTTCCTGCATAAAATACCTTGGCTTTTCAGAAAAAAAAAAAAAAAAACACCTACCTTATTTAAAACAAACTTTACTGTAATTGCGATTTGGAAAAATGGCTTGGTAAATGCAATGCATAATAGTGCAGTTTGCACTGCTTTACTAATGACAGTTTAAGAAAACCCAGAAACATCCAACACCTGGGAGGATTCTAAATATTTTTTCCTTCATGAATTTGCATACTTTTTTAAAGTAACCTTAAAAAAATTACAAAATTAGATTGATTAAATAGTGTTTATTTTATTCATTTGTGTAAACTCTCTGAGCTGCTCCCTCCTCCCACACGCAGTGGTGCATTTAGAGACCATCAACATTATTCAACAGCTTCCAGGTCATGTGACCCACTGACTCCAAATCTATGTCAAATTGTTCTATTACTTTATCCACATGGGGCACACTCATTTTTATTACATTTCAAGCATTTGTTCTTTTTTAAAGATTTTTTATTATAAAAATGTTATATTTCTTCAATGAAACTTGTCTCCATACGTGTAAAATCCTATTAATCTCTCCACCAAAACTATCAGTTTTGAGGCATCCATGTATAAAAAATATGAAAACATTAGGAATATGTTTAAAATTTCCCTTTTGATTCATATTTCAATCCGTTTTCTCATCAATGGGCGTTAGGTAATTTTGGGCACAACAGATGAAAACCGGAGGAGCGAATTGAAGCAGGGGCGGATTTAGGAAATTTGGGGCCCTAGGCAAAGACAGGCATCGGCCCCACTGAATTGAGAAGAAAACTAATAATAAAGACCCATTAAAGAGATTTTTAAAGCTGGGCTTTTTGATCATAGTTGGATGTTGCATGAAACAATTATTATTGCTTCAGTAATAGCCTTCAGTCTGGGATGTCCCTGGGTGTACACTTGCACTCCTTTAGTCAGAAAGGACTCTATACTGCTCTGTCCCTCTCCACTTGACAGTTTTATTTTGCTTTATTGAATAGAAAAAACATGTAGATGAAGAATGATGTTTATTTAGATTAGTATCTAGCCTTCTTCAATATGCAATTCTACAGAGCCCCTCTGATGACATGGTAAAAAAAATATGTTTAATTGTGGCCATGAAGTAGTATTTCGTGCGCACGAAATACTACTTCGTGGCCACGCAACAAGTTTAACGTGCGCACGAAACACTTATTAATAATATCAATAAATCCGCCCCTGTTTTCAGGCTTATGTTAACTGTAATGACTTATCTTGGACAGGCTGCTATGTAAACGGGCCTTTAGTCCTTCGTTTAGCTATGCTGCGGTTGTTTACACTACGCCTTTTCCACCTAAAATGGCGTCTTAGCAACAAATGTCACGTGACTGGCGGAGACCGACTGGGTAAGCAAATGGAGCGCGCCTTAGACCTTAGAGAAGGCGCGCTCGATCTGCTTACCCAGTTGTCCAGGAATTATATTA